TTTTCAATGTAAAAATATTTGACCCTTACATTTGACCCTGTGACTTTCAAAAACACTATAAAACCTGTACATGGGGGGTACTGTTATACTCGGGAGACTTTGCTGAACACAAATATTAGTGTTTCAAAACAGTAAAACGTATCACAACAATGCAGGTTTTAAGGTGTCATAGAAAGTTACAGGGTTAAATACAGTGCTAGCAAATTAAATTCTCTGGACTTTCGGCCTGGGTTGTCAGGCATGTCCTTCAAATTGCAATCAATAAAATTACTTAATTATGTAAAAATATTGGCTTAATTAAGCCAATGTTTTAATAACAATAATTTCCCTTTAACCTATTCACGACCGCTGACGCTTCAGGACCGTCATCAGAAAAATCCCCTTGAGGGCCGGTGACGGTCCTGAACCATCATAACGGTATTGTGTACTTACCCGATCGCCGTCGTTGCTCCCGGTGTGGGGAGACTGCCTGACAGCCCAGGCAGTCTCCCCGCGGCGAATTAGGACCCCGCGGTCACATGGTCACAATAGGTGTCCAAGTGTCTGCCTGCAGGTGGACTGCCTGAACTGACAGGCAGTCTCCCTGCATGTGTAAAATAAAAAAATAAAAATTATGTTACTGTTAATAAACATATAATTATATATGTGTATATATATGTATATATATCATATAGAGATATATTAAATCTATATAATATATGTCTATATATCATATATATGTCATACTAAGTGTATTTTTATATTCATATATACATATAATTATACACTTATAAAATTAATATAAAAATACACTTATAATTAAATTACACACATAAGTATGCATGTAGAATTTAAATATATATTCATATTTATATATTTGAAGTCTATGTGTATATTTATGAAATTATTTATGTAATTTTGTATATGGATATATATATATTTAGTATTATTTTGATTTATTTATATATACATAGATGTATATATAATTTCATTCTAAGTGTATTTTGATATAAATATATATATATATATATATATATATATATTAATATCAGAATACAATTAGAATAAAATTTCATATATATATATATATATATATAATTTTTTTTCATTATTTTTACTTTTTAAATTTATTTTAATTTACTTATTTGTATTTTATAATAATATATATATACCGTATATACTCGCGTATAAGACGAGTTTTTCTGCACATTTTTTGTGCTGAAAAACCCCCACTCGTCTTATACTCAAGCCAGTGTCTGTATTATGGCAACTTACATTGCCATAATACAGACAAGGACCGCCGGACTCATTACAAGCTCCCACTGAAAGTCTCGCGAGAGCCGCGGGGTCAGAGCGTGGCAACGCTCCGCGCAACACTCACACAGCGAGACTTACACTGGAGCTGACAGGGGAGCTGACCGGCACGGAGGAGAAGGGAGCTGACAGGAGTTGCAGGAAAGGTAAGTTACAGCTCTCTGCCAGCCCACCTCCTACACAGCCCATCCACTGGACCACCAGGGAATGAGAGCCCTCCTCCCTGGCCATGTATCGAGCAGGGAGGGGGGACGAAAATAAATAAAAATTTAAATAATACAAAATAAAATAAAAATATTAATAATAAATAAATAAATATAAAAATAATAATTAAAAAAATAATAAAAATGCCCACCCGCCACCAAGGCTCTGCATCACATACACAAACACACTCTGTATCACATACACACACTGCACTCATACACACACACACTGCATTCATACACACACATTTTTTTAAATTCTTTGGGATCTAATTTTATTTAGAAATTTACCAGTAGCTGCTGCATTTCCCACCCTAGTCTTATACTCGTGAGTCAATAAGTTTTCCCATTTTTGGGGGGTAAAATTAGGGGTCTCGACTTATATTCGGGTCGACTTATACTCGAGTATATATGGTATATACACACAAAACATATATAGTTGTTATATATATTATATATATATATATATACGTGTGTAATTTAATTATAAGTGTATTTTTATATTAATATATGTATATATTAATATAAAAATACACTTAGTATGACATTATATATATGATATATAGACATATATTATATAGATATAATATATGTATATATGATATATTTACATATATATACACATATATAATTATATTTTTATTAACAGTAACATAATTTTTTTATTTTTTATTTTACACATGCAGGGAGACTGCCTGGCAGTTCAGGCAGTCCACCTGCAGGCAGACACTTGGACACCTATTATCCTAATTCGCCGCGGGGAGACTGCCTGGGCTGTCAGGCAGTCTCCCCACACCGGGAGCAACGATGGCGATCGGGTAAGTACACAATACCGTTATGACGGTCCTGAACCGTCAGCGGTCGTGCATAGGTTAAAGGGAAATTATTGTTATTAAAACATTGGCTTAATTAAGCAGTTTTTGTGTATCGATTATGCCTCTGCAGTCCCATTGCTCAATTCACTGCCATTTAGGGGTTAAATCACTTGTTTCTGTTTATGCAGCCCTAGCCACAGCTCCCCTGGCTGTGACTGACACAGCCTGTATGAAAAAACATGGTTTCATTTTCAATCATCTGTATCTCCTGCTATGTAAATTAATCAGTACAGAAGGCTCCAGCAGGGTCTAACAAGCTATTAACAGAGCAGGAGATAAACAATTCTAAATTAAACAGAATTTGCAATGAAGGAAGTGTAAACATTAGATGACTCTTTACAGGAAGTGTTTAGGAAGGATCTGTAGGTCACATGCAAGGAAGTGTGACTAGGGCTGCATAAACAAACTGATATAACCCCTAAGTGGCAGAGAATTAAGCAGTGATACTGCGCAGGCACGAGCTATACACCAAAACTGCTTCATTAAAGGGATACTCCAGGCACCCAGACTACTTCTGCCCATTGGAGTGGTCTGGGTGCCAACTCCCACTACCCTTTACCCTGCAAGTGTAATTATTGCAGTTTTCATAAACAGCAATAATTACCTTGCAGGGTTAAGTCCTCCTCCCGTGGCTGTTTATCAGACAGCCGCTAGAGGGACTTCTGTGTTCTTAGGACACGAAAAGTGTGTTATACGACGCTGGACGTCCTCACGCTATGTGAGGACCTCCAGCGTCGCTGAAATCCCCATAGGAAAGCATTGAATAATGCTTTCCTATGGGGAGGTCTAATGCGCGTGCGCGGCCATTGCAGGGACATCGGCGCTGTATTCAGGTAAGTCACGGAAGGGGTTTTAACCCCTTCAACAACTTGGGATGGGGGGTGGGAGAGAGAGGGGCACTACAGGGTCCTGCAGTGCCAGGAAAACTAATATGTTTTCCTGGCACTGGAGAATCCCTTTAACCCCTTAAGGACCAAATTTCTGGAATAAAAGGATATCATGACATGTCACACATGTCATGTGTCCTTAAGGGGTTAAGCAAAAGTTGTTTTGGTGACTAGGCAGCCAGTGCTCCTTGAATAAAGTAAAACCACCCTATAATTTTCTCAAAATTAAAAGTTGACTTGAAGCCAATAAACCTTTCATATTTGTAAATGGAGAATCACAGCAGTCTGTAAGGTAGTCTTTTTGTGAAGCTGATTTCTATTTTCATTGAATACATGAAAGTCTTGATATCTCCATACAGAGATATGAATCACAAATCAATAAGTGCTTTCCACACAGCCCACAATACATGTAGGAAGATGCTATGAGAGATTTGGAGTCCGTCAGACGATCCACTGTCAACTACAACCAGCATTAAAATGCCTGGAGAGAGGTAGGGGAAGTAAATTAGATGTTTCTTTTAGAATTTACCCTGGGAGGTTTCGACTAGTGTGCAATGAAAAAAGGTGGAACGGGAGATAAGTGAACAATTGATTAAGGTGGAATGCTTACTGAAAGGTGGAATGAGATGGGATGTGAAGAGTGGGGGTTGAACAAGATAACTGATGATGGGAAATAGAATATGGCCTCTCATCACATTGCTGTGATTGGTCTTTGAATATTAACATGCTAATCATTACATTTACAGCTTTGTGATTCTCAGAAACACTGCATATTGCTGTTCCTTTTATTGCTAAATAATCATACCAAAAGATATTTGGACAATGCTTTGCTTCCAACTTTGCGGGCACAGTTTGGGAAAAAGTTCTTTTTTTTTATTTCAGCATGACTGTGCCCCAGTGCACAAAGCAAGGTCCATAAATATATGGTTGAATGAGTTTGGTGTGGAAGAACTTGACTGGCCTACACAGAGCCCTGACCTCAACTCCAATGAACACATTTGGGATGAACTACAACAGAGATTGCGAGCCAGGCCTTCTCGTCCAACATCAGTGCCTGGATGAACAAGCCATAATTTCCACAGAAACACTCCAAAATCTCGTCAAAAGCCTTCCCAGAAGAGTGTTATAGCTGTAAAGGGGGCGACCAACTACATATTAATGTCTATATTTTTAGAATGTGATGTCTGTTGGTGTAATGGTCAGGTGTCCCAATGCTTTTGTCCACATTAGTGTATATGTATGTGTATATACTTACATACACGTTTTTTTATACTGGCCTGACCTTTTTTTTTTTGCATGATGGGAAATAGGCTGAATACAGTTCTTTGTTGTGAGATGTTTGTTTTTTGCTGCTGTGTAAACTACAAGTGTGAGTTTTCACTTATGACTGCCAAGTAACCTGTGTTTATAAAGATGGGGTTGTGTGTGCTTTCTTGGGCTAACTCTACTGTGTACCAGGTCATTCACAAGTGGGTGTGGTTCCTGACAAATAAGGGCCCAGATGTAATATAGCCATTGCACATTATTTAAATATGTTGGTATGTGATAATTTGTCGACTATGCTGGAGCACTCTGCCCATCTGAAGCTTTGACTTGTGTCCTTCAGTAATGTGAGACCTAAGTTATTTCTCACAAGGGAAGAACTGAATTCCACAGATAAAGATAAATTTTTAATCGTATTAAGGGTGTTTATTAACCAAACAATGGTACTACTACTATGGTTTACAGTCGTTTACAAAATGCTTTGACTTGATGGTAAAAAATCCAACCAAAAAAACAAACATACAAACTACAAAGTGTCCTGTGGATCAAAAAATAATACATACTAATAATAAAATGTTTGAAAAGCTTCAGGCCAACTCAACACATTGTGGCTAAATAAAAAAACACCTAAAATAAGGCATCAGAGTAAACGAAAGGACGCATTTAAAATCTTTTATTCTGGTCTTATATTCTTAAGTATTATTCTTGCTCTTTTTATTACTTTTATATCTATGGGAAAATCTAATGCATTTTGTGAGACAAGAAAAAAAAAAGAATTTCTTGAAATAAACAAAAACCAAACGATTAAATTAAACAGATAAAGAAAGCATGGGATAATATTTGTAGGATCTTGGCATTAATATAGAATATTTAATCAATTTGGTAACACCAAAGATCATTTTTGGTTTAACTATAATTTGGCTTGATGGTAAAAAAACAAACACACATTCAAAGTACAGAGTGCTCTGTGGATCACAAAATAAATAATCTTTTGTATTGACGTTTCATTCCTCTGGAAAGTTGGATGTAGACATTACAAACACTCCCTTCCGTATGACAGTCAGGGTTCGGATACAACTTGCATCAGGTGTCAAATGCTGGAGAAAAGAGTTTACATTTTGAATTAGTCACAGGAGGTCACATTTCCCTTGCACAAAATTAAATTGCATAGCAATATTTATATTTGACACAAAACCACAAAATGAGGAGGTAACTGCACTATCACAAGCTAGTGTTCCTCATAAACATGTAATGCACCAGACCTCCTTGTATGCATACATACAACTTGATTGATAAGACATACAACTTGATTCATAACTCAACCTTTTATCTCTTGCCTTACTGGATACCATATTTCCCCATCAGGTTCCCATCTCGCTCTGTATCCTGGTTTATATTCCTTCTGTCCAGAACTAATTACCCAATTTCAATTATTCATATAGTGCCAACATATTCCACAGTGTTGTACAATAGGTTTACCAGACAAAGCCTAACATGACAGACAAAGTGGACCAGTAGCTGAAGAGGGACCCTCAAAGGAGCTTGCCCCAACATTTTAGGTAAGGAGTTAGGCTCGCATAAAAAAAAAGTTTTACTTTTTACACATTTTTGTTTAAAAGACGCATATTTCCATGGGAAAAAAGTATGAGGATATCCCCTTTTGATAACACTGTAGTTGGTGTGTATAAATTATTTAATGTATGGGGTCTGTAACATTTTGTTTACTGTAATCCTCGTGCTTTTTAGCTAGGACCTGCTCATATGATCTGGTTTTTTTCACCCCTCACACATTCCCAATGGATGGAGACATTGGGAATATTTGTCAGGCCCCCCTATATATACCTATGCATTCCACAGTCCTGAGAGTGGCCTACATAGCTATAATTTATTATTATTTTTTCCCTTTTTCTCATCGCCAGTTTGTTACTCACCCCCCACTTTTACCCTTTTGCTCCATGCCAATGGGAAGGCGTTTTCAACACTACCATAGCCTAGAACAGGCATAGGCAACCTTCGGCACTCCAGATGTTTTGGACTACGCCTCCCATGATGCTTTGCCAGCATTATAAGTGTAAGAGCATTATGGGGAATGTAGTCCACAACATCTGGAGTGCCGAAGGTTGCCTATCCCTGGCCTAGAACATTGTACAATATAATACCAGTACCTGGAAAGGTGACAATTTCGAGTTAATACATGGCTCCCTGAGTAAGTCAAGTCACATTGCACAGCATTATTGGTGAAATCTGACTCCAAGACCAGGAAATTTGGATTCACAGACACCTGTAAAGCAGAAAGATCTTTAAATGCATGACACATTATATACACAAACAATAAAGAGAGAGAGTACAAAAGTAAACTGTGAAACAAATAGTGCAAGCTTTCAGTGCTTACCTTAAGTATATACCTTCCAGGAGGAACATCAGTAATATCAATCCACTGACAGTCAATATTGGCATGGTATGTGTCATAACAGCCTGGGCTCAGTCCCTGGAATGACATATTTGCGTTTAGATATAAAATAAAAGAAAATGTCCAGGCTCTCCATCGCCGGTCCGGAATGCACACATGAAAAGCCTGTGATTAGTCTGCACATGGCTCCAATGACGTGAAGACGGGGTGTGACAATCAGCAATGGGAGCATTACCTGGCACTGGATGTAATATTAAACTTTTTTTCAGGTTTCATTGCAATTGGAGGGGTAGGGGGCCTCCTCCACAGTGCCCAATATGGCATTTTACCAAAGGGTTAAAGTAACCCTTTAAGAGCTTCTTAAAGAGAGGACAGGTTGCACTAAAGAGGACAAACAAACTAAGAGATCTACAAAAATCTCAAAAAATACAATGAAAAATAGTCTTTAGTACAGTCCAAAGATAAAAAGTAATAAATACCAGGTAATAAGACACAGTCTTAAAAATAATAATAACCCATCTTCCAATGTTCATAAAGTGCTTGACTTCACTCAATAGCAGCATATGAAAGAAAACACAAACAAAAGAACCAATAGTGCAATATGGTAGTGTAGTATACAGCAGACAACACAAAGGTCTAAAAGTGCCAACTCACATATGTTAGAGCTATAACCAGCTCTGGGTAAAACAGCATGCAGTGGTATTATATCCCCACTTGCAGGCTATTCCTCAGGCAGTAGTTCACAGCAGGATGATGATAAGGTGGAACATGTGGAATGACAAGAAAAGGCCAATAGTGATCTCTACTAAAGTAAGTATAAATGCACATAATAGAAATATACTTACAGTAGTTGGAGCAGACTAAACCCGTTCTATGTAACAGGTGTGGGTGGTATAATCACCACCTAGGATTTTTTTATACGGTAGTCAGTAGAGATGTCTGAAGGTAAGTTCAAATGCTAAGTAAAAGCAAGTAGTCTACTCCAAATCAGAAGGTTTTATTTCTAAATACAAGAATTTCAAATGGGGAAGCATGAGTAATCGGTCATCCTGCATTCTACTCTTTTTGCTTTTACCTGGCATTTGAACTTACCTTCAGACATCTCTACTGATCACCGTATAAAGAATCCTAGAGATTATACCACCTACGCCTGATACATAGAACAGTTAGTCTGCTTTACATAAGTATATTTCTGTTATATGCGTTTATATTTACCTCAATAGAGAGCACTATTGGCCTTTTTATTGTCATTCCATATGTTCGCCTCATCATCATCCTGCTGTGAACTACTGCCTGAGGGGATATAATACCACTGCACGCTGTTTTACCCAGAGCTGGTTACAGCTCTATCATATGTGAGTTGGCATTCTTAGACCTTTGTGTCGTCTGCTATATATTATACTACCATATTGCACTATTTGTTCTTTTTGGTTTGTGTTTTCTTTTATATGCTGCTCTTGACTGAAGTTGTTCCACAAGCACTTTATGAAAATTGGAAGGTGGATTATTATTATTATTTCTAAGACTGTGTCAGCTGGACTGCACTAAAGACTATTTTTCATTGTATTTTTAGAGATTTTTTAGATCTGTTACTTTGTTTGTCCCATTCACCATTCAGGTGTGCTGCCTCTTCTATTTTATTGTTCAGTGCTGCTCCATCCCCCTTGTTTTCTTTGTATCTTTAAGAGCTTCTAGTTTATTGTTTATGTCCTGCACATCTTGACATTGAGTTCAAAGCATGTGAGGGAAGAAGAGAGTGGGTCAAACGTCATCAATATTATTTTATAGATTTACAGAAGATGGTTTGAAGTTTTGAAATGTAGTGAACTAAAGATAAGTCCACTGTTTGGGTGTCGATTTTAATTAATGTGTTGGCTTCCGAATAGTGAAAGGCACATAGGACTGCATTTTATCAGAGACAAACCACACAAGATATGGAATGGTCTTCTGTATAAATTGTTGTTGGTTTTCAGTCGACACGAGTAAAATGTGCATGGGAAACATGAAATCAATCAACGTCTCCTGTAAATGACTTTTAAAGTAACCAATGGCTTTCTAGATTCCTGTGTATCTGCATAAAACAGGACCTTGTTCCTCTAAGAGCCACGAACATCCCTGAGATAGGTTGTTCTATGCTTGTTTATTAGGGAAGTAACATTGTTGATTTACTCAGAAAGACACATGATGTGATTTTGGACCACATTTGGAGGAATAGGATACAAGTCTTACAATTATATAGTTAAATTTTAAAGGATGAGATAATTTAATCTAACGAAGAACATTGATTTATCTGCCTTACTAAGAAGAGATTTCCAAGAACCCGAAAAAATTTGATTTTGGGGTCTGTGTGGGTAGAAAATGCCAATAAAACACTTCCATTAACAGAATTTGAGCTAGAGGAAAGTTTGTTCATTTCTGCTAAATGTCTTACTCCTAATGACACTACCTAAACCTGACTTGAAAAAAATAGGACATGTCAAGAAAAAGGATAGATGGATCTTACCAATCCTTAGAATGGTCATGCTTAATATAAGTACCCCAGATGGGTGTCAAAAACGGAGCTTGATATCAGTCTTAAACAGACTACAACGAGCCAGCCTATCCATATGCATCCATATTGTGTATCCTAAAAACATGATCATAAAGTAGCCGAGTAGGCACATAGCACTAGTAAAAAAAATACTCAACAATAAATGTTGCATCTATGTTATAGTAAAGTCACAAAACTATAATTATTGTGTGTTATTTGTTCCATCAGATTTAGATTATGACATAGAAGTTAAGGCCATATTTTCCTACAAGTTTCAGATCATCTTGAAAATTTTACGCTTTCACCATTAAAATTCTCTATTCCAATAATTTTTAGTGCAGGTCTTGTTTTATATAGGACAGCTGTGATATGCATTTAACTATCTATTAAAGGACCACTCCAAGCACTAAAACCGCTACATGTCAACAAAGTGGTTATGTGTCCCAGAGTCCACCAACACCTTCTTAGCCTTTTCAAGTTTGAACTTGAACTATTGTTTTTACCTTATTATATATTTTGGTGAACTTTGCTTCTCGTGTCTTAAGATGTGAAGTAAATCTCCCCCCATGTTGATATTCCTTTTTTCATAAATCACTAAGTTTGCATTATCACTATTACAACTTAGGATTTCATGGGTTACAACCCAACCAAGACATTATAAGCAAGTTAATAGTTGTTTTGTATGTTGTTTAAGGTGGGCAGAAAATGTATGAACGCCATCAGCATAATAGATCGTTGAGTCACGGATAAAAAACGGTGCCACCTTAAATATGACACTAATACGTATACATGCTAAAAGGAAATGAAAAAGGCGCTAAATCTTTATAATTTTTTTTCCTGTGAAACCTTTTTTTTGGAGGCACTTTAAGGCGGATTGTGGATTTTTGGGTTATAATACATTGTCTTTAAAGGACCACTATAGTGCCAGGAAAACATACTCGTTTTCCTGGCACTATAGTGCCCTGAGGGTGCCCCCACCCTCAGGGACCCCCTCCCGCCCGGCTCTGGAAGGGGAAAGGGGTAAAAACTTACCTTTTTCCAGCGCTGGGCGGGGAGCTCTCCTCCTTCTCTCCTCCTCCGTTCCGCCCCGCCGGCTGAATGCGCACGCGCGGCAAGAGCTGCGCGCGCATTCAGCCGGTCGCATAGGAAAGCATTTACAATGCTTTCCTATGGACGCTGGCGTGCTCTCACTGTGAAAATCACAGTGAGAAGCACGCAAGCGCTTCTAGTGGCTGTCAATGAGACAGCCACTAGAGGAAATAGGGGAAGGCTTAACCCATTCACAAACATAGCAGTTTCTCTGAAACTGCTATGTTTATGAAAAAATGGGTTAACCCTAGCTGGACCTGGCACCCAGACCACTTCATTAAGCTGAAGTGGTCTGGGTGCCTAGAGTGGTCCTTTAAGATTAGCATATGTGATTAGCACTTTTGATACACTTTATGTATATATTGTATAACGTAATTGTGAACATGTGTTTTATTGTAGCACTTTTTGGGTTGAAGTTTATGTTTTATTCATATTTATCAGAAAGATTGGTTTAATTTAGGTTGGTGATTATTTTGGTAAGCACTATACTTTTTATATTGATATTTTACATAAACATATTCTTGAACCTTTTTTGGTAGTTTGGCATGTATTGCAAAAAAATTATTGTAATTTGGGCCATTTACAGCTAGGCCTATAGCACATAGTGGCGGTAAAAACGACCAATGTCAGATTATTATATCTTACTCCCAAATGCCACTGAAACAATCCACAATTCTTGGCCAAATGTTATAGGATTCCACTCATTTCATGGAAGCAGTGGTACCCTGCCCAGTGTCCACGATAGACAAGGATGTTGCAGTAGAAGGAAGTCAGGTAAGTATATATTCCAATCAACACATTTGCCAGCAATTTTGTCTGCACAATGTATAGAATAAAATGCATGTCTACCCAAAGGTGGCTTTGGCATCCATATTGTTCCAAATTGTTTATAACATGTTGAAAAAAACAACCCCAAAGATTCTGCACAAGATCAAAATACTTCAGTATTTAAGCATATACACATGAATGAAAGTCACCTGAGTGTGTGCAGTGCAAGCATATCTACGTCTTACTCCCACATCACATGTTGTGTCTTCCAAGCAAAAGCTAGCCTTATGACCTTCAGCCACTTTACGATGGGTTACAGCATCCAAAAGATCATAGTGACTAAAGGAATCCATACTGTGATAATGCCTGGGTGGGAGATTTAAAAAAAAAAGTTATCTAGATCAAAGAACAATAGACCACGTCCAGAAAGGAAAAGGTACTCACTGATGACAACTGTGCCATTCCCAAGCATGTTGTGGTTTTACTGGTAGGAAGTCTGCGGTTCCACGGTTCTTAACCCTTTGCGGAAAGCGTAGCAACACCCGTGTAGATAGCTCAGAGACACTTGAGGTGTAAGCAGACCTGAATGAGGAACATGGAGAAGCAAGTAGTAATTAGGACACTGCATTACTGTGTGTACGTCCTGTGATATGCAATCCAGAATAGCTGGAATGCCCAAAGTTAGCCTGGACTTGGCATTAATACAGTAAGAATTAAAGCGAAAGGTAGAAATTACATAGGAATACTGACATATGAGCTACTGAAAGAGAAGAAGAGAAGAGTGGAAGGATGAAGTTAGGGAACAGGACAGGAAAATGTATAAGGTGATTTTGAAGACATATACATTAAAAATGTGTCGTGAGTAATAAAACTATCCAGACAATGATTTATATTGGTATAATAATTGAATCAATTCTTTAATATTTATTGTGATTTAATATAATTTCTACCTCTCTGAGCTTTTTTATAGATAAATATCTTTTTTTTTAAAATATTCTTTATTATCGGTGCAAATTAGTGATAACAAGCCACAACAGCATGAACAAGTGACATGATAGCATACATAGTGATAATAATACATGGCAGATATAGACATTGCACATTTTTATAAAAGTAAAAAACACACAGGCTTAGTGCATGAGTAGTTAAGGAAAACATGCTTAGTCAGGAATAGACTAGTCAGGCTAAATGAAGGGGTCCACTAGGCATACACAACACAGTAACAACATATGCACTAGACATGGTGAAGCCTATGAGTGATAGGGTTATGTATGGACACTGTGAAACATGCTATTTAAATTTTTCCTATAGAAAAAACAAAGGGCTGCTATAGTAAATGAGAACAAAGAAAAACCTAATACAATACAGGAGTCCACCACTTGGCATTTAACCAGGAGGAAACGTAAGCATGTGCGGAGGACTTTCACAGTTGGTTTAATGCGCCTTCATCCAATAACCGAAATGCGAGTAGACTGCTGGGCTCTTGGAGGAAGGTTTCCTGTGGGTAGGCATATGTAGCGTTGGAGCACTGATAAGAGACCCTCAGCTGAGTGTTCCAAATCCCCTCATGTACAGCAGCCTCCATCCCGAGGAGTTAGAAGAGCCAGAGTCCCAAAATCCCAGGTTCCTTTAGGGCCCCAAGCCACCAGAGGCCATGCTGCAGGCCCATCAGGCCTTGAGAGAACAATGGTGCCATGTTCTCCTGGGATCCATTATGCACGTAGGAAGGCACTCCAACCTGTCAGATGACCACACCTTAAGAGTGATCTATTGTGTTGCAGGCGGTGGTGTGTCTGAGGCTTGCAGTTGAGCGATCAGGTATGAAAAGTTGCAGTGGGAGATCTCCTGGGACCGGGATAACCCCCACCAGTCCAAAGGGGCGGGGGGAGGGGGGGAGGAGAGTGCAGAAATCCGCTCAGTGTAACAGGATGTGTCGTCTGGAGAGTGGCATTCCCTCCGACGCCTGTCAGGCTTGTAGGCCGCAAAAAATTTAGGGTTGGTAACCTAAGTCAGGGAAGTACCGGTTCTGTTACCAACCAATTTCCCAGGATCCCCACTGTGGTGACGCCCACTTCTAATGCTCGCCTCCAAGATTTCTCCAGGGCTGCACCTCTTCTGTAGAACTCCCTTCCCTTCTCCGTAAGACTTTCACCCAGTCTCTACTCATTCAAAAAATTATTGAAAACTCACTTCTTCAAGAAAGCATATCAATTAAACTGTTAGCAGGTTTTTATCCCCCATCCCTCATGACTCCTCTTCTGCAACTGTCAAAAATTACCTAATAAGCCCTTTTCTAACAACCTACTTCGTATCCTTACTTTCACCCTTTGTGTCACCATACCCCACTCTCTCTAGAACAGTGGTAGCCAACCTTTTTCTACCTACCTCCCACTAATGCATCTTTCTTGATGGAAAAATTTATTTACCGCCCACCATTTTTCGCGCAAGTGCAGAATATTTTTTAGAAAGGAGGGTGTTAAAAAAAAAAAAATGTACGTACAGGTATCTTTTTATTTCTACTTAATGCATGTTTATAATGTTTTTTACTTTATAAAGTTTAATGAGAAAACAATAAAGTAAATTGAAATTACCTTTACTAGTGATTAATGAGTACCTTGAGGTTGATCCTGCGAGACTAAATATTTAATATCTGGTTTGATTTTCGTAAGGAACAAACAAAGGTCTCTTCTTTCGGTGATATTCAGACGACTTCTCTGTTTGCGCATAATATGATTTCTCATCCGTGCGTCAGCTCATCTCCTCTCCCTCCCCACCTTTTTTTACCCCTTTTTCATATTTTGTAACCTTCCTTATAGCAATGCCCAGTAGGAAGGCTGAGCTAGGTAGCCCACTTACTATAGCCCACTATAACAGACAGGCACACATACATACATACAGACACACAAGACACAAATACAAAGACACACATACATACAAACAGACAGGCACACATTCATACATACAGGCACAAATACAGACACACACACGACACACACATACAGACACACACACAAAGACACATACAGACACACAGATAGGCACACATACATACATACAAAAAAATAGACAGGCACACATACATACAGACACACACACACAAGACACATACATACAAACAGACAGGCACACATACATACAGACACACACACATACAGACACACAAGACACATACACACAAACAGACAGGCACACATACATACAGACACACGCATACAGACACACACACACATAAGACATACATAGACACATACACACATACAGACAGACACAAAACACACATACAAAGACACATACATAAGACACACATACATACAAAGACATACACGCACAACACATACATACAAAGACAAGACACACATACATACACACATTTATACACACAAACAAACACACACCAAATATTTTAGTCACCCTCCTGTTTCCTACCTTTAAGGTGCAGGAGGGTGACTTTCCCTGGGGTCCAGTGGTGGCTCAGGTGGATGGGAGTCAGAGTTCCTACTCTGACTCCCTGGTCTTCCTCCCGCGCGGTCTGTGTGTTAGCTGGGAGGAGTGACGTGCAGTCACTTCCTCCCAGCGTGTAATGTAATAACAGGGGGCCCGGTCGCGCTGTTAAAGCGCCCAGTGCTGATCGGGCCCCTTACAATCCACATCCATTGGGTGGCCCTGACAGCATGGGCCACCCGATGGACCCCTTGGACGGCAATCCCTTGGACGCACCCGCCCACCCAATCTCTGAAACTGAGGAAATCCCTACCGCCCACCTGGAATCCTGAAACGCCCACTAGTGGGCGGTAGGGACCAGGTTGACGACCCATGTTCTAGAATGTAAGCTCATTGAGCAGGGCCCTCCACTTCTCTGTTCCTGTACATCCAGTTGTCTGGGTACAATTACATGTCTGTTTGTCCACCCATTGTAGAGCGCTAGGGAATCTGATGGTGCTATATAAATAATAATAATTCTGTCATCAAACTAATATGGTGACCAGGCGTCATGTGACCAAGCTCATATATGCCTTTATTACAGGGGGATAAGCTTTATCCTTTGATACCTTTACAAGTCAGGAAAGAGATAACCACTTCCCTCTATCTCCATTTCTCCCTGTTCCTTCTTGGCCGTGCTACTGAGCAGACACGTGAGCAAACATGAGCTAATTTTTATCATGGTGAACTGTGAGTGGGGACTGATGACTTTATAAGGTTTAGTTGTTATTGTCAGTTATTTAGATTGTGGTTGTTGTTGTTGTTTTAGTTAGTTAGATTGTGTGTCATTATTTGTATGTTGTTGTTGTTTTGTATGCAGACATAATTTATATATTTTGCTAATACACCACACCCATTATGCAATAAGTCATATTGTGCGGTGGAAAACTGCAGGTAGCAGGTATAATAAGCGTATTTTACAAGCTTTGCTCAGGAGCTGGTCTAGCATGCGCCCTTTATAGATATATTGCTATGTCTAAATTGTATATGTGTGGCAATACTTTTTTTCAGTGTTTCTTCAACCAACACCACCAAAAATAATTATTTTCATCTCAGAAATAAATAATATAATTACAGTCTTTGTGGCTTCTCTTCAACACAAGACTTTAGCATTAACAAAACATTTTGCAGAAAGTATCGTTGGTCACGGCCATATATTCCGCTCATTCCTGTTATTCTCTACAGAACTCTGTGAGTAGTTTATCTACCCCTCTCTTGTATCTCTTGTGAGGAGTTCTATTTATTTATGCATATCTGGTATTTAACAGTATATATCTTCCTCCTTAGTAATCCTCTCCATCATCCAATCTTCCCCTTTTAAAGTCTCTTAAATTTCTTCTTAATGTTTTTTTGTTTTGTTTTTAACATTCCTTCCAACGACACATCCCAAAAGTTGTGGACTTATGAAGTTGTCAAGGCCTGCAAAACCTGCAAATGACCATTTTATCATTTACCTGTTTTGCATTCCTGCTCTCAGCAGACCAATTGTCTGCCACACGAGGAATTAATGTTTTTAAAGCTTATACAGGAAAACCAGAGCTTTCATATAGCAGTATTGTGTCAGCACTCCATTAGGGCAGCTGGGTATTTCATTTAGAATCCCCATGTTTCTCAAATTCAAATAGTAGCGATAATGGACCTGTAACACCAGACTTGAGCAAAAATTCAGTTTACTCCATGAAATGTGGAAAAGTCAAAGACAGTCGAAGTCTAAGACAGCTACACTGACTCATTGGACAGAAAACCTCACTGCCCTCCCCTAAACCCAGCATCACACTGAGAGTGGGTAAATATACACTTGTGACATGAGTGTGTTGAGAGTGTGTGGCTGTCCTCTTTGGGTTTAACTGTGTTTATCTGTTAATTTGCATATATCTGCTCCTACCAACCAAGGCATCATTGGTCCAAATAACCTCAGCCATGTAGGTACAACATTAAGGGTCATCTTTATAATTATTGGGAGACTGAATACCAGCTCAGGTACCAGGACCTTGTTCAAACCCTAAACTAACTCTGTTGGGAACAGCATTTTTCTGAAGATTTCTTAAGAGAATCACCTTACCTTCCATCTTTCAAACACAATCCCTGGGATTGGATGCTCCCTTTACGGAAGAGGAAATACGAGCAACCATCCGTACTCTACCAAAAAATAAAGCTCCAGGCCCAGATGGCTTCTCCAACTTATATTACATAAAACTAGAAAGACACCTAACACCACATCTAACTAAGACCTTTAACAACTTTAAAGCCTCAGGAAAAATTCCAAGAGAAATATCCCTGCTCAATGCAGATTTCAAACTGTATGCGAAGCTATTAGCTACACAAATTAAACCAATTTTGACCGACCTCGTATCAGAAGAATAACCAGGGTTTGTCCCAAGAAGGCAAGTAAGCGACAACACTAGACACTTCATTAATCTGATTGACTGGGCGAAAACAAGCTCCCAGGCTGGACGCATTCTAGCATTTGACGCTGAAAAAGCGTTCAATCGCCTGCACTGGAAATACATGGCATTGACCCTGGCCAAAATGGGTTTTTCAGGCGCCTTTCTCACAAGTATTTTAGCCCTGTACTCAAACCCCACCGCAAAAGTTTTCAGTTCAGGTTTCATGTCTGCTGCTTTTCCCATATCCATTGGTACATGTCAGGGCTGCCCTCTTTCCCCGCTGATTTTCATACTCTGTCTAGAACCCCCATTAGATACATAAAAAAAAACTCGACAATTGGAGGATTTACCACCCCGGCGGGAGAACAGAAGTTGTCAATATTCGCTGACGACATTCTATTGTTTATGGCGGACCCAGAAAACTCCATCCCAAATGTGAACGCTCTCTTACAGCTATATGGACATATATCCTACTACAAAAATAATGTCTTAAAAACCCAAGCGTTACCTATTGGCCTGCTCGTACCACTATAAACAGCACTGCAAGACACACGTAAATTTGAGTGGCGCACCACATCCACCTCTTATCTGGAGATAACGCTTACAAAAACATCCCATCTCCTGCCAAAAGAGAATCACCTCCCCTTGATACATAAACTTAACCAAATGATAGACAGGTGGGGAGGAATGGAGGTGTTGTGGTTGGGGTGTATAAACTCCATTAAAATGATTATCCTCCATCACATACTCTTCCCATCCTGTTAACAAAAAAAGTGTGGAAACAGTTAAAGGCAACAATAAATGCTCACATCTGGAAAAGGAAACCACCACGAATCGTACCGCCTATTATGGCTACCCTGCAGCAAGGGAGGCCTGGGCATCCCAGATGTGTGCAGTTATTATATAGCAACAATATTATCCCAGGGGTTACATCTAATAACCAGTCATGAAAGTCCTCTATGGCTACAACTGGAAAACGCCTGCATAGGTTCCCAGCACATTGCACACCTCCTTTGGACCAACACAACGCCTACAGTCACACCACCAGCGTGGAAAAGATGGGTACATAAACTTATCGCACCTACTTCATTACCTCCGTTAGCGCCAATTCTCACATTGTTGTCCCTGTCCCGGGACCTCCCACTGCACACATGGAAAGATAGAGGCATAGAAAGAGTAAATGACATATGCGATAGTCTTGGCATCAAACCATTTCCTACCTTAGCGACAGAATTCCAACTAGAATTACGTATTTAAGGACTAAACATATAATTCAGTCTTAACACATAACACACATAGAACAATTTTCACTTCCTTAGTTTGCCAGGTACTGCACCAAACCCTCAGGCCAGGGAGATGTGTTAGACGGCACTGACACAAACAAAACAATCATCTAAAAGCTTGTCACATTGGGAGGCATACACTAAGGTACTGATGAGATGGTACTTGGTACCACACAAACTTTCCTGTATGTACAACACTGCTAGCTCTGAGTGTTGGAGGTGCGGACTTGAAGTTGGTACTATGAAACATATATTTTGGGAGTGCACAACACTGACACAGTTCTGGAACATGATTAACGTGATTGTGAACGAGCTATGCAACACAAATATTACATTCTGTCCAGAGACGCACCTCCTACATATGATCCCTGGGATACATGAAAACCGCAACAAAACAGGTATTCTAAATATGCTCACAATAGTCAAATCCTGCATAGCATCTCACTGGAAGAGTGTACGAGTTCCCTCTAAAAGTGAGGTTTTAAACAAACTGGAACTTACATATCAATATGAAAAAATGGCCAGCAGTGTGACAGGCACCAAGAGCAAAGACAAAAAACACAAAACCCTGGAGCAGTTGGAAAGATGTCAGGAAAAAACAACTGAACTCTTTGTGAAGCAAAAAAAGTGGCTGAAGTAGAACACGTAGGTCAACAAAAAGGAGTTAGATAGAAATAGCTGTGCATTGGGTGCCAGCGAGGTGGGTGTAGGCAGACTGTTCCCAGATCTGAACAACGATTACTTAAACCCGATTCCTGGATCGAGCCTCATAAAATGGAAGACAATACTTCTAGTTAAGCTTTACTCCTCCAAACTTATATCATTTTCTTTTGTCCTAGTAGTATAATTTCTCTTTCCATTTTATCACATTAATGTTGCATTCTATACACTCACAATCCTCTTACAATAGCTTAATTATATACACTTTTGCATATTTAGCACTAGTACTATTTAATTTGGTCTCCCAAGCTTAACACAATATGGCCATATGGTGGAACTGAATCCCCATATTTGTTTGCTGAGACAGGTGATTTTAAGTAGCCTTATAACGTTTAGAAATTAATTTTTATGTGTGCGCTGTAACTTAATTTGTATTATTTCTGGCCCCTTGACACCAGACCCTGTTTGGTCTTCCCGTCATTTATTTCTTTACTTGTTGAAAATAAATAGATTTTTTTCAAATGAAGTACAACTTAACCTTTAGTATACAACATGATCTTTAAGCCATATGCATACACCTTGGGTGAGACAGTGATTGAAAACCGAGTCCGACATTGAGTCTCTATGGACTTCCATGCTTCACTCCCTGTCATTTTAGAGGTGACAATTGTCCTTTAAAACATGAGCTTGATCATATATTTGTTTTGGGTTTTATTCACTCTGTAATAGCTAAATATGCTTTTCAGTAATATAAGCAAAATGACACTTCACTAGAAGATATTTCTCACCTTGCCAGGCAGTTTTCCTCAGCTGCACACCACAGACTGTAAAGAGGGGCTCTCTGGATGTAGGTGGATGTTTGGATAAACAGAGCATCAGGAATCAAGTCGGGGAGACCTAATGTGTGGAAAGAGCATCATGTAAATTGAAAAGAAAAAATATATGAAAGGGTCAAAGTAGTAAAAAAATATTTACAAAAACACTGCTAACTGTTGTATATCTACACCTGTAAGAATACTAAGATTTAAAATGATAATACGCAGTTACACATAAGTCACATGTGTTCCCCTTCCCCTTGTTATAAGAAACTTGGAAAGAACATGTCTGTTCCCCACAACTGTTAAGAGCAGGGTCAAATGAAATTGACAAAACTTGACAATGGAAGCTTTGCCTTTTGTCAACTTCAGACTTGGCTACTTCACCTTATGATATCTGTTGATTGTATTCAAATGTCAATGAAATTCGAGTGCAGTCAATATGAGTAGTTTAGATTATGTTTTCTTTTTTTTTTGGCAATTCTTTAATTTTGTTGTGCCGAACAATAAACAAATGGCAGCACGTAACAGCAGCATGATCATAAGATTGTCATCTCTCATGATTTAGGAGTAGTTAATGGACATACCTGCAAATGTTATATAATGTGACAAGGAACAGATATAAAGAAGATACATAACCCAACATGGTCATACTACAGTACCTGGAGGTATAGGAAACAAACTAGGGCAGGTGTAGGCAATCTTCACCACTCCAGATGTTGTGGACTCCATCTACCATAATGCTCTTACAGCCATAATGCTGGCAAAGCATTAAGGGAAACATAGTCCACAACATTAGGAGTGTCAAAGGTTCCCTAGACCTAAACTAGTGGGAACTATATGATTGGTAATCAGCCATCACACTTCTATGCATTTTGGCAAATTATAAAGGGAAGACGATGAAAAGAATAAAAAAGGCTTTATGGAATAGGATATTTATTTATATCACTTCTTCAGTTAAGAACTCTTCCACTGATAACCCAGCAGCAGCTGGGACAAACGAACACAGAGAGACCTTATTCAAGTCCTACTTCTGTGGAGTACATTTGATAGTAAATTAAGGTGTAATATCAAGATCTAATGCTAGTCCCAATTTTGAGAAAAAGGAGTCTGCCTCAGATATATCCCACAGCGGAACTCGATTAATCATTTAAGCTGTACAATCAAAAATATTCTTGCAAAGAAATACTTGGGTTTCAGGTCGAAGAGATCTTCACTACATGACCGTATTCATGGATGGTTTAGAACAGATAGGAGAGAAACCCAATTAAGGGCGTAACTCTTAAGAGATTTCCCTTTACATTTAAGCCACTTTAATAGATTAAAACACGTTATACTTTTATTATTTCAATTAAAACAAAAACCAAAGAAAATAATTTTATAATAATAAAAAAAACAATTTTTAGTGTCACAACAACGTAATTAAGTGAAAAAGTCCTTGTGGTATATTGTTTATAAATGGTCACTTTTAGTGTCAATCATTACTTCAACTACAAATTTTACTTTCAAGGTAGCAGTTTGGTAAAGTACATTTAATACAATGTTTCAAAAGGAAATAAAACTTCTATATTATTTGAGTTAGGTCCTTTTTCTATCATATGCAAACAAATTTACCATCTGGAGGCCCTACGGGAATTCTTTCCAAACCTTTTATGATGTCGGCAATATATTTACGACATAATTGTGTGGCAAGGTACTCCCAACGAGTTCAATAAGTTTGTATCCATTCTTAATCAAAATGATGAAAATTTTAGATTTACTTCAGAATTTGGGGGTTCCCCTCTTAGCTTTCTCGACATCACAATGTCCATTATGGAAAATGGTTCAATTCGGACTACCCTATTATGAAACCATCGGCCTTCAATACCCTTTTATGTTGGGATAGCTTTCACCGCAAGCCCCTGAGGTATGGCATTCCAACTGGCCAATACCTCTGAGTGCGGAGACATTGCAGTTATCTGGAAGACTTTATAATCAACGCCAAGTGTGAACGAAGGATTTTCGTTTGCCCCTTTCATCTAATCCCTATTCAACAAATCAATTTAGATAAATTTTATATACATCCTGTCATCTTTCTGTAGAACTTGACGTATGATGTCCACTGTATTTAAGAATTTAACATGGAATAGAGCCCACCTATATGATCAAATAATATGGTGATTTCTAAACCACCTGTCCCACCTAGCGTTTTATGATTACCACCGATCTTTTTCGGCCAAAGCAGCAGCAGCAGCTCTGACCCAGTTCATTATACAAACAGACTGGAGTCAATGGGACACCAAACTCTTTTGCTCAGACTTTGCAGGCCTCAGGACGCTGGCCTGTGCAATTTGTACCTCTACATCCCACACATCGGACCGTTTGTCCCAGCAGTTTTGATGTCACTACCAACAACCTATCCCTTCCAAGCACTTGTAACAGAATTGACAAAGTTATTAAGGACAAGTTCATTGTCCAATAGTACTCCTGGGGAAATACCAAATCTGTACTAAATTCATGTGCCCTAATAAAATGTATCCCAGACCTTATTTGACTTCTGTAAATGTGGCTGGTTCATCTAAACCATTGTCTAAATCCCCATTCACCACAGTTGGTAAATTTCCATTCAACAGGATTGTCCCAAGGTTTCCACACGGGTATAATCTACATGCCATCTGGCATAGTCAAGTGCAACAACCAACTAAAAGCCATATTAGATCCCGATACTGTCAACACTCTGTTACAGCAGGAATTGGAACAAAGTTTTCTCTTGGGTCCTTTTTAGTTCCCCCCTTTCTTATCCTGGTAAACAAATCCAATCGGAATCATTACAGGTAAAAACTTGCAGAACTTTCCACTCCTCCACAGTTCCTAGTTTAAATTCCCTGATTCCCTCTGACAAATTCTCACTACAATACGTGACCATAGACAATGCCATAAATGCTATCATCACGGCCAGTGTAGGTGCTTGGCTCAATAAAACTGAAATAGTGAACACATTCAAACTACTTCCCATACACCCATCACTCTGGCATCTAGATGGTGTTAAGTGGAGAGGTCTATATAATTATTTTTCTCCCGGCTTACTTTTGGTTATAAGAGTAGCCCAAAACATTTTGATATCTTTGTCGAAACCTTGTGCTGCTTATTGCTTAATGCATGTAGATGCCCTTCAGTCATTCACTATTTGGATGACTTCCTCCCCATTAAAAAAGCAACATCTAACATAGAAACATAGAAGGTGACTTTTATATACTCTCATTACCCCACACAAAAACAAGCCAGATGGGCCAAACAATTGATACTCCTCATTGTCCTACACCTAACAAATGGTGCCTGATTAAAACGTGAGATAAATATCTGAACTACATACATACACCCCCGTCTCAGCCACTACTACTATAGATAAGTATATATAAAATCAATCCGTGGACTAAAAAAGACTTGACGTGTTTCACTTCTAAAAAGGCTTTCTCAAATGTGTTCTCAAAAGAACACTTTTGAGAAAGCCTTTTTAGACGTGAAACGCGTCAAGTCTTTTTACCACCTGGATTTATTTTATATATACTTATTTTGTCAAATAAAGTTGTTGTTTATTTTTAAACATCTTCTGGACTTACCCCTGATCTTTTCTGCTGGAGTCCGGATACATTTCTCTTTACTCATAGAGGGAGCGCAAAATGCTATGGGAGAGAATTGGTTTCACTGAAATAATCAAGATTGATGATCTCAGCCATGGAGGTGAAGCCAGTCACAGCAAGACTGGCACACTGATGATAGAAAGGTAAATAAAATACCTTTTAACTCCAATCTGAGGGGGTACTCAGTGTTTGGCATTCATGTTTGTATTCCCAACACTATAGAGTTCCTTTAAATAAATAGAATTATTCTCAGTGACATTTATAGATGGACATATTGGTTATCACACCCAATACATATGTTTCAAAGTATATACACACACACACACACACTTTACATATACATACAAATGGAATGCACTTAAATATGTATGGCATGTCTGTAGGCAATGTGCATACAATATTAATATAATTTGCTTTATATAATGTTTGGTATGTAATGATTTATGCACATACACTGATCAGCCGCAACAATAAAACCAGTGACAGGTGAAGTGAACAACATTACATGTTTATAAAAACTGCAATAATTGCCACTCTAGGGTTAAGGGTGATGTGAGTTTGCACCCAGACCACTTCAAAGAGCTGAAGTGGTCTGTGTGCCTACAGTGTCCCTTTAATCACATTGTTGTGACACTGAACACAGTTTGTTTTTGGAAATATTTTCTATGGTTCTTATTTTAACTTAAATAATAAAAGTATAATGTGTTTTACTCTCAAAAAAGTGGCTTTAATATAAAGTGTAATCTATTGAGAGTTACCCCCTTTCTTGGGTTTCTCTCTTATCTGTTATAAATTATTCAATTAGGGTTATCCTCTCTATAGATTGCCAAGTAACCTTTTACTGACTTCTATATACATTGTATGTTAGATAGTCTTTTTCTCTAAACAAAAAAGTCTTCTTTTTCCTGGATAGGTCAAGAAAAAAAAAAAAGAGGTGAGTAATGACCCTTCACATTTGAAGGGGTCTTGCTTCTAGCAGAATTCCCAAAAGTGGTTTTATCTATACTAATGTGGAATTTACAATAAGCCCTCAAGTGACTGTAGAATATGCCTCCAGTGGTTTTAGGTCCTGAAACACTCCATCCAGGAGTAGTAATTTGGCCTGTCTGGGTTTCATAAGGGATCTTTTTTATAAAATGTGGTAGTTCAGCAATATTCAAGTCCTCAGGGACTCCACTGATTCATGTTTGTTCCCAGCTCTGGGTATCGTCCAGACAGTCCATGCGATGAGTCAGGCTCACGGGAGAAGTCTGAAGTTTCTGGATCACAGCATTATGTTTACTCTTAAAGTGATTCCAGAGGACCTACAAATCTGAAGCAGTTTTCTGAGGTCCACCAGGAGCAATTTTTAGTACTGATCAATACCCTGCCTAACTGATGACAGGAAATGTATTCACTCGGGACTGGTCAACACATAGCATGTCTCTGATGAAGTGTCTCTAAGGTACGAAACACACTACAGGGTAGATCCAGTGCTCCCCTTGTGTATCCAAGCATAACGTAATGTATAAGAATAAAAATCTGACTAATTTACTTTTTTGGTTAAAGTGGATTGAGGTGTTTTTCTTTGTCTGATTTGTGGTTTTTCTTTCATCAGTCATTGCAGAATTGCAACTTCCATGATTCTTTGTCAGCCATGTTTTCAGGGATTGGTAAGGTTAAAAACACCCAGTTCTTAACCCCCAAAATAGGGGGGAAAGATGACCCTTTCCCAACTCTCCACCCTACCTTCACCAAATTCAAGGCTTAACATGCCTCTTGGCAGACCAAAATTACTTACACAGATACACATATAAATACGCATAAACACTGGCGAGCAGACACACACAGACATGCACAAGCACACATGTGCCAACACATAAAGACAGACATACACAGGCGCAGATAGACACACAGGTACAAAAAGACATAAACAGTCACTGACAAGAAGGCAGAGACCTACTCAGACAGACACAGGCAGGCACACACAGACACAGACAAGCATACACAGATATACATATACACAATCATTGTGCCAGACACACACAGACACAGACAAGCACACACACAGGCATACACAATAAAAAGATGTCTCTGTATCTTGTTTTATGGAAAGGCAGACAACCAGTTACCGTATTAGCAATGCCCTGCACTTCTTTGGTCTCTCACTCTCCTTTGTTGACTCTTAGACTCACTATGGAGACCGGGAAGGGACAGAGAGAAAGAGCAGGTCAAGCAGAAAAAGAACCAGGCCTATCTGGACCCACATTCGGGACTTGTGTCCCCCTAGCTACTCTCTATTGACACCAGTGCCTCTTTTTTATCTTGGTCTAAATAATACAGTCTATACCATTTTATAAATGGGTACAATTGTACAGAACCAACTTTTAATCACTTCATCAACTACGTCCTACAAACTGCTGTCAGGAAATATTGTCCTGATGATCCATTTTGTACTAGTATGTCATTTACACAAGTTTGTTGGATGCCTCTGAGAACCTCATTCTTCAAGTAAACAGTCAAACTAAATGTTAGTAGAAACTAAGTAAATTTATTGTAAAAAGTTACCAGCGCAGGTGCTGTGTCCTATTGGTGTCCATGCTGAATGCTCCTTATTTAGCACTTTCCCCCCTAATGGCACCTGTTTGTGCCTTGAAATATCTTTCCTTATGTTTTCTAACACTTACCTAAATTACTTTACCAACTATTCTTTTTTTTTTTTTTTTTAGCACTATGATAATTCTAAGATATATTTTTGGTGGGCACTGATTAGGAAATTGGAGAGATTTAGGTCATTGGCTCGTTATGGTTAAAAAATTAAAAAGTAAAAAAGTAAATATTTTGTTTAGACCATTAAACGAAAACTTATCATCACAAAGCCAAAACAAGTTATAAGTAAATGTTATATGTTCCATCCAATGGTGTAACAGATGCTTCTAAATAAGTTTCTACTAAGATTATGTTTTTTCAAATGAATGGTAGTACTTTGCCATGAATAAAGCAATGCAAAGTAAACAATGGGTACCAGTTAAAAAATATATATATATAAAATTCAAAACTGGAAAAAAATACAAAGGCTGCATTTTAAAGGATTAGACTAAATTTTAGCAAAGCAAATCACCCAGCATTGTAAATAATATAAATAGTTTACAATAAAAGCCCATTGCCATTTAGAGTCAGAGAGGATAATTCTTTTTGGAGCAAAATTGGAAATCAGACTCACTTCATGGCTGCAATGAGCAAGGCATTTTAAAGTTTAGTAACCACTATAGAGTCATTTTTTGCCCCCGCTTCCCCATCACGTACACAAAAAGCAGACCTTAGTCATCAGACATTGTATATACGTGGGGAGCTTTAGGTGTATTTGTCTAGAATTCATTGCCTAGAAAAGATGAGCTGTCACATTGAACAGATGCCTTTAAAAATAAGAAGAGCATTATACTCTCTAATTCATATGAATATTATGTAGTATTCTACTAAATTCTTACCATTAAGTTTCATTCTACAGCATGGAATTTCCTGCCACTGTATTCAATGTCCTGTAAGTTAAATACTAATGGGATTTACAAAAGTGCAGATTTCCCTTGAAATTGGCATTTTAACAAAATAAGTCAGTGGGAACCTACAGTTAATCCATACAGCAATTCAGCAAACTTTAAAGTGGAACAGTCACTTATCTTGAATTTACACCATTGAATAAAACTTAAAGGGATCATGTAATGCCAGGAATACAAAGCTATATTGCTGGCAATATAGCTCCTTCTGCCTCCACCCCCCTCCGCAGTGAATAAAGGGTTAAAAAATCCTTTATTTAATTACCTGATCCCAGTGTCGATGTCCCTCAGCACTGGGTCATGGCTCTGCCACCTCCGAAGTCGCTCAACGAAGGGGTGCTAATGCGCATGTGCGGTGAGTGCCACACGTGTATTAGGCCTCCCCTTAGGAAAGCATTGAATCAATGACGCTGGTATTTGCCTCATTAATATTCTGTACTTCTTTGCATGTTTAGATCTTTATAGTTTTTGCATAAAACAAATAAATGATTTGCAGATTGCTTGTTTAACCACACCCCCTCACTCTAGAAAAAGACTTCCTTACGAAAAAGGGATGCCTGGAGTGTCCCTTTAACACTGCAATATAAACATAGCAGTTTCTCAAAAACAGGGGTACTCTTTACTCAGACCATTTCATTGAGTTGAAGTGGTCTGGGTGACAATAGTGTTCCTTTACTAAATAACTACTGATAACCTTTTTATAAGATGCTCTCTTACATTGCAAATGAAGAAGGTAATAGAAATATTTAATTTCTCCATTTTCTGTATGCTTTCAATGTATTTACTACGAGGTGCAAAGGGCAGAGCTTTTAACAATGATTAAATGGGAACTAAGATGGAGGCTTCCATTTGTAGACTAAAGAAGTGTAGATTTCTACATTTAATGTTATTTTTCGCACATCACAAATGCAAATTTGTTAAATATAGGTGTAAGTTAAAATTGTTTTAAAATTCCTGGGAAGTGGCAGTTAGCCCTTGCAGTTTGCATAAATATGTCATAACATTAAAAATAAATCTACATCTTAGATATTTAGATAAGCAGGGATGTTCTATTATTAACAGTATATTCTGAACAAATAAGTACATTTGTCTGACATAATATATATATATACATATATATATATATATATTTATTTATTTGATTAACTAACAGTTTACTAATTAAATAAGAGTAGAGGTGCTTCACTGTACCAATTAAGCCCTGAGAGCCCCCATCACACACTTTTAGCTCAATTCAATCACACATAAACATGCCACATCACACATAATCTTTTGTCTGGCCATCCTCTCCCGGCTCTTTGCCGCTAGCCCAGATGTGTCCCCTCTTCCTTATTTGCACAGGTGTTTGCAAATGACTCAGATGTCAGGAATCATTATCAAAATAGCGTTGTCTAAACAGGGAGTTAAATACGTTGACCACCATAATAACAAATTCAATGATGTGTTCACAAGAAAGTAGTATCAATACAGTAACATTCATTATCAAGAGCATCACTACAGTGCTGTACCCTAGTTTATACACTGTATCCTCATGTGCCGTACCCCCTAACTCTTACGGATAATCTTCACACTTAACATTGGCAATGGTGATGCTGTGGACTGTACATTCTACCACTGCAGTTTGTATATACCTATATGTGGGCTTAAATTTTTTTCTATGCTACAAGCCAAGCCCTTAAATTTACCAGCCACAGCAAACATAGCATGCACACAGGGAGTGAATTTATACTTTCCAGGGCTAAATCTTCAGGAGCCTGAGTGGCGAAACCTCTGGAAGAAATTGCTAAGTTGAATTGCTATATTCAATCCGATATCTAACAGATATTTAGACTGTCTGTTTGCTGAATGTGAGCACCGAGTCGTTTTCATGGAGCATAATAAGATAGAGCTAGTTAGTTTACCTCAAAGATTAGGTTCCCACGAAGGCACAGTATACACTAGTGCTACTTAAAGGACCACTCTAGGCACCCAGACCACTTCAGCTTAATGAAGTGGTCTGGGTGCCAGGTCCTTCTAGGCTTAACCCATTTTTTCATAATTATAGCAGTTTCAGAGAAACTGCTATAATTATGAATGGTTTAAGCCTTCCCCCTAATCCTCTAGTGGCTGTCTCATTGACAGCCACTAGAGGCGCTTGCGTGCTTCTCACTGTGATTTTCACGGTGAGAGCACGCCAGCGTCCATAGGAAAGCATTGTAAATGCTTTCCTATGAGACCGGCTGAATGCGCGCGCAGCTCTTGCCGCGCGTGCGCATTCAGCCGGCGGGGCGTAACGGAGGCGGAGAGGAGGAGGAGAGCTCTCCGCCCAGCGCTGGAAAAAGGTAAGTTTTTACCCCTTTCCCCTTCCAGAGCCGGGCGGGAGGGGGACCCTGAGGGTGGGGGCACCCTCAGGGCACTATAGTGCCAGGAAAACGAGTATGTTTTCCTGGCACTATAGTGGTCCTTTAAGCTCCATGATTAAAAAGCTATTATATTACCATTTCTCTACCTCTAATTCTTAACCAGATTGCAATTTTTTATTGGGTACATAACAGACCCCTTAGTAAGAAGCATAATATCTTCTGTTTGGGTGTAGTCCCACTAGTTACAAACCTCAGCTAATAAATTGATACAATCATTTCACTTAATCTGATTCTCATTGAATCGCTACATTTTTAGATACTCTGTTACTTTTAAGAGGTTTCACTACTAATTTGACCATAAGTGTTGAAAGGATACCCAATAATAGGAGTATGTTTATGTAAAACGGGCCAATCTACATACACATATCCTATTATCTAGTTCCAGATACCTGTTAATTGGAGTGTATTTTGTAAATATCCCAAGTTTCTTCCATTTTTGATTAGATATTTTTATACACCTTTTTAACAGAATTTTGATTAAATGTTATGCTTTATCGATCATATTAAAGTGTATGTTTAAACCTCATAAGAAACCTATTTGGATAGAGCATTTTGATCTAATTTCTCTAAATTTGACGTATCCTTTGAGTTTCTCATAATGAGACTAATTTCTTTGATAGAATGTTTATGAAAAAAACAATACAGACGGTGGCAGAATTTCAATGCAATTCCTACACAGTCAAGATATATCAAAAGATGAAGTAAGGGACATCTCATGCACGAGCGATTTAAAATCCCACTGCACAGAGTAGAAACCAGTGAACAAATTAGTGGCACATGAAACGTGTATGGCAGTATGATCATGTAAAACAACTTATTTTTACTCAATCGGTGCTTTTGCAATATATTTCCAGTGTTATCCACTAAATTGTAAATTCAATATGAGTTTTAAATTTAAGGCCAAAGTAGACGATCTGGAAGCATAGTTGGCATAGAGATTTTTTTCAGATTGGCTATTTTGGCCTTAAATTTGAAATTCACTGTGAATTCTCACTTCAGTGAATAACCCTGTTACTATCCAGTTTCAGTTCTGTTTGCATTCATGGTCTTTGAGGATGCAGTAGCCCTCCTGGTGCCAGTTTTGCTTCTCACAGAATCCAAGTGATTACTTAACTGAATGTTGGATTCAGTTATGGTGGATGCAGCTTTATGTATTTCTGTACTTTTTCAGTTTTTACCTTACCAGGCAGCAGTTTTTACCTTACCTTTGCACATACGCAGTTTACAGCAAGGTACGTCACGTGACATAAAATGGCATAAATGCATGCTGGCCTCACACCCCCTCTGTGTCAGATTCATACTCACCAATATTGCCAAATTTGCCATATGTGTCTTTTCACACTAGGTTACTCATTATTAGCAGGACAACTCACTGTCTAAATACAATTATTTTTTTAAAACCACTGCTTAGTAGATAAACTCTTATTGAAAACATGTATGCATTTAATTATGCATTCTGTTTCATTTAGGGTATATATAAAAAAACTGTATGCAAAAGTGGAAGATCTCTACCCCAGATCCCTTCTTCCCCAGCGCAGACTTCATGTGACTGTCCAATCACAGACTTCTCAATGAGAAATCATTGCAAGGCAGGTGCTCTGGGCAATAACCTTAGCTCTCCACTGAGTTAAACAAACCATGAAGTTCCAAGATGAGTTGTCTGCTTGTGGCATTGAAAAATACTCTCTATGTTTATTTATAGAGGTAGTGAGTGAGGATTTAAAGTGAATTCCAAATGTAAGGTTGGAGTAGCCAAAGTAAAAGCATAACTGACTTCATTTTTTCCCTAGTTTGGCTGTTTTGATCTTGTGTTTCTCACTTTAGAATATAAACCAGTATACATTAGGGATAGACCTAGAGCCCTTATTTGGCATATTTCTGATAATCTGCATTGGTCTGGTAATTGACCAATATTACAGATAACATACTCACCTCTCCCATTCACCACATCCAGAAAATCTAGCCACCAGCCAATGACGAGCCATCACTCCCTCAGCTGCAGGCAATCTACTGTAATGTACTTGGCTGACTGACTGAGATTGATAGGAGTGTGATGGCTGATAGCAATCAAACTCATATCAGTAACAGCACTGTCTGTGCTGGGATCTCACTGATCCTAACATGTACTAGCTGTCTGAGAGTGATAGTAGTGTGATTGCTGTCAGTTTGTGTACAAATTGTGCTGCTTTTCCAAAACGTTAAATGTATAGAATATTGGCAATCCATCCCCAATATAAATCATAGAATAATGTATGTGAAAATGCCTTACCGTACTGTAAATATCGGGTTGCAGTCCTCCTCACTGAGGGAGCTATATAAGGCACCATATTCGGACTCCTGTAGGGGTTCCTAGGGTCATCCCCTGCCATTCTCTGCCTGGCAGGGGGGGACCCAGCCGGTCTGACCTGACGAGGGGCTTCCACAGGAACTTGCCTGCCACCTGCTGGCGTGACGTCATTTTGCTTGGCGTTTGTTCTTTCTACATTTTCCGTCCTCTGGCTGGGAGTTCTGGTAATAATGTTGTTTCTTTTCGTGGGTGTTCTCTGTGTGGTCTGGCTTCTCTCGGTTAAAGCTGCGCTGGCCTGCACTGCTTCACTGCTCTGAGTACTTCTCTGGATGACATCACCAGTCTGAGTACTTCTGTGGATGACATCACCAATCTGAGTACTTCTCTGGATGACATCACCAGTCTGAGTACTTCTCTGGATGACATCACTGCTCTGAGTACTTCTCTGGATGACATCACCAGTCTGAGTACTGCTCTGAGTACTTCTCTGGATGACATCACCAGTCTGTACAGCATTTCTAGAGGTAACACCACTTCTTGCAGTTGAGATTCTTTGGGTGACATCACCGCTCTGTGTAGTTCTTTGGATGACACCACCACCCTGTACAGGATTAGTCCTATGGATAACATCACTCCTGGCAGTGGAGAGCCTCTGGATGACATCACTGCGCTGTGTAGCTTGTCTCTGGGTGATGTCATATCTCTGGATTGCCTCATTTCTCTGAGTAGGAATTCTGGGCGTTGCATAAGTTTGTGTAGAGATCCTGGGAGTGACATCATTCCTCAGGATGTCTTCATAACTCTGTGTAGGGTATACCTGGGGTGCATCAATTATCTGTGTAGCAGCCTTTTGCATGACTTCACTTTTTGAAGCAGACCCTCTCGCTGTGGCCGTATAGTTGACGGTACTGATATAACTCCCGGGCAGTGTTACCCTGTGCTTGGCTATGTCAGTCCTAGCAGTGATGGGGATTCTCACGGTGACAGACTGCTTAACCTTGCGGATCGGCTGCGTTCCATCCCGCTGATGCTTGGAATTCCGAACCCTGGACAGCGGACTGCGAATCTCCCCTGGGCTGGCCTCTCCGGGCTTGCTGACCTCGGAGATGTAGAAGGTCCCAGCTCTGTGGTCAGACCCTAAGCTTTGCAGGCTAAACGTGCGTCCATTACTCTCCCAGCGGAAACTGCGGCGCCAGGGCCAGCGGGTACTGTCCTGGAGAGCTCCCTGGCAGAACACAAGAAGGAGCAGTGGCAGAAAGCCCAGCGGATACATGAGGTCAGCCTCCTTACACTACAGGTATGGACACCCTGGATGAAGAGGGTCAAGAGGACGACTTTGTCGGGTTCCTGTGTCAGTGCACTGGTGTCTTCTGTAGTTCTCCCCTTGTATTCAAGGGTATCGTTAGTCTTTGGTGCTATTGAATGGCTAGTAGTTGCCAATGAGTCCTTTGGTAATGCTCTGCGAGGAGGTGTGATAAGTCCTTTACTGGCATCTGTCCCTATAGATAGTGGTGGGCTTCCTGTATTAATTTCTTACCTGGTCTCTTGTCACTGGTGCCTAATTGCTGCTGGGCTCCAGGAGGCTGCCAGTGGATCCCCTATGATTTTCTCTCTTGTCTCTTTCTAAATTCAGTTTTTCTGGATTTGTTAGTTGGAACGGTAATGGGCAGCTGTAGGTCAAGACACTCCCATCTGCATTCTCCCATCCCTCACTGTTTGATCCCCTCCTCCTACTAGAGGAGCTTTAAACTAAGTTGCATTGCATTACTGGGTTGCCTGGTCCAACATATTTCCCTGGACAAATATCACTTCTTCATGTTGTACAGCTGCACATGAAAAGTGCTGCCTTGTAGTGAGTAGCATTAACTTACTCATAGATCCCTTCTTAGTTAATGGCTCTTTCACTGCTGCATAATTTATAATTTATCTGACACAGGAGAGCACCTTTCTTGTACTGGTTATTAGTATGTGTAAGTCACATTGTACAGCGTTGCGGAATTTGTTGGCACATTATAAATAATAATAATTCCTATTGGTGAAATATGGTGGCTTTTGCAACCTTGGTTGTGTAGCAGAATACCTTATCACCACCTTTCAATTCAAAACCTTGGTTATGTAGGATTAATTGTTAGGAAGGTGCTATAGGACAATAAAAAAGAAAATATCATACATATACACTGCTCAAAAAATAAAGGGAACACTTAAACAACACAATGTAACTCCAAGTCAATCACACTTCTGTGAAATCAAACTGTCCACTTAGGAAGCAACACTGAGTGACAATCAATTTCACATGCTGTTGTGCAAATGGGATAGACAACAGGTGGAAATTATAGGCAATTAACAAGACACCCCCAATAAAGGAGTGGTTCTGCAGGTGGTGACCACAGACCACTTCTCAGTTCCTATGCTTTCTGGATGATGTTTTGGTCACTTTTGAATGCTGGCGGTGCTTTCACTCTAGTGGTAGCATGAGACGGAGTCTACAACCCACACAAGTGGCTCAGGTAGTGCAGCTCATCCAGGATGGCACATCAATGCAAACTGTGGCAAGAAGGTTTGCTGTGTCTGTCAGCCTGGTGTCCAGAGCATGGAGGCGCTACCAGGAGACAGGCCAGTGCATCAGGAGATGAGGAGGAGGCCGTAGGAGGGCAACAACCCAGCAGCAGGACCGCTACCTCTGCCTTTGCAAGGAGGAAAAGGAGGAGCACTGCCAGAGCTCTGCAAAATGACCTCCAGCAGGCCACAAATGTGCATGTGTCTGCTCAAACGGTCAGAAACAGACTCACAGATGAAAGCAGGTTCACACTGAGCACATGTGACAGACGTGACAGAGTCTGGAGACGCCGTGGAGAACGTTCTGCTGCCCGCAACATCCTCCAGCGTGACTGGTTTGGCAGTGGGTCAGTAATGGTGTGGGGTGGCATTTCTTTGGGGGGCCGCACAGCCCTCCATGTGCTCGCCAGAGGTAGTCTGACTGCCATTAGGTACCGAGATGAGATCCTCAGACCTCTTGTGAGACCATATGCTGGTGCGGTTGGCTCTGGGTTCCTCCTAATGCAAGACAATGCTAGACCTCATGGCGCTGGAGTGTGTCAGCAGTTCCTGCAAGATGAAGGCATTGATGCTATGGACTGGCACGCCCGTTTCCCAATCCAATTGAGCACATCTGGGACATCATGTCTTGCTCCATCCACCGTCACGTTGCACCACAGACTGTCCAGGAGTTGGTAGATGCTTTAGTCCAGGTCTGGGAGGAGATCCCTCAGGAGACCATCCGCCACCTCATCAGGAGCATGCACAGGCGTTGTAGAGAGGTCATATGTGATTTTGTTGTCAGAACATTCAACTATGTAAAGAACAAAGTATTTCAGAGGAATATTTAATTCATTCAGATCTAGGATGTGTTATTTTTGTGTTCCCTTTATTTTTTTGAGAAGTGTATATACACATATACACACCATACCTCCCAAGTGTCCCTATTTAGGAGAGACAGTCCATATTTTGAGCTCTCTGTCCCTCTTTTTTTTTTAATCATAATGTCCCTCTTTTATATGAGCTTCATATTGTTGGTGTGTCTTGAGTTTATAAAAGCGTTTAATAGCAGTAATACTCTCAGTAATGTTTGTTTAAACAATACATTTATTTAAAAAAAAAACAGTGTGTAAATAAGATACATTGTTCTTGTTTCATTTTAATTGCATAAATTATCAGTTTGTCACCTCAAATTTCTCAGAAGAGCTCTGCCACTGGACACACCCACAATTAAACCCCTAAAATTTAAAGGGATGCTGTAGTACCAGGAACACAAAGCTGTATTCCTGGCACTACCGATCCCTCAGCCTACCCCCTCCCTCACGCCCCCCCTTCCCGGTAATTAAATGAGCTGAAGTGTTCTGGGTGCCTCCATGTCCCTTTAAGCGTACATCTTTGTTCATTGAAAATGTTGGGAGGTATGATACACATTTATTGAAATAAGAATACGCCTACCCAAGGTGGTTGTATTTTATTGTATAGTGACTGTGGCCACAAAATGAATTGCATACTTAATAAAAAAAAAAACATACAAAGAATTATATATTAGTAAATTTGAATTTTTAACTTTAGTGCTTAAAACGTAGTTACGCTTCTGGCCCACATTGGTTAAATAATACTAGTCTGAGGCTTGCATTCAATCAGTAATTGAAAGGTAGAACTGTGTTTGCAAATTCTAACATGTAATATGCTTCCAAATTTATTATATGGATATTACTGTGCAAAAGCTTTTATCCAGGTTTAACAAAAATAAATGCTGTAAAGTAAGAATGATTTAAAAAGAACATAAATCTAAATAGTTTATTAGAAAAATCTAAATCTAATCATATCAGCCTCCATATACGTTCCTTGGTGGCTCGGAGTATGTGTGTGGAGAGAACAGGGATAAGATCCTATCGACACCTCTGTGTCCACATATGCAACATTTTGGGGGCCCAAGTACAGCTGTCAGCCTGTAATGCATGTATGTGAAGGGGAGAGGGAGCAGCACTGAAGGAAGGCAGCTTGCCTCTACACTGGATGTGAAGGGGAGGGAGCTGCATGGAGGGAGAGCAGCTTGAAACAAATGTATATGAAGGTGAGAGGGAGCTGCATGGAGGAGAGCAGTCTTACACTGTAATGTAAAGGGGGAGAGAGGGTTTGTATTGCAGGGACTCCCAGCGCACGTGAATAATCAGATTATGTCTATTGCCAGCGTAATATGCGCGCTGACGACAGACGTAAACTATGTGCAAAACTGAATAGAGCAGGCCGGCACTGCTTTCTGGGCTGCTGAAGTCGTGTGCTGGGGGTGTAACTAACAAAAGTGCAAATATATCTGAATATGCAATATTTAAAGCAGAAACACTGCACATACAGACTCCTACCACCATGACCACTTTAAAAAGCAAAAGTGGTCATGCTGATTTGAGTAAACGTTTCAAAAATGAAAACACAAAAACAATAAAGCAGCATCCAGAAACGTATTTAGCTAAATAGCCTTTTCAGTCCAGTAAAAAGACAGCCACAGATCACTTCCATGCTTATATATCCCACTGATTTCGGAATGCTTTCCGCTGTGATTGCATGTGTTGGACGTCCGCTGATGCCGGGAGTACACCGAGTTTTAAGCCTCCCTTAAAAGAACACAACATACAGGTGATACTCAAAAAATTAGAATATCGTGCATAGTGATATTGTGTGGAGATCAGTCTACGCGTTTCGTCTCTTCAAGGAGACTTTATCAAGATATGAGACCGAACAATGCAGAAGAGCTGAAGGCCCCTATTGAAGCATCGTGGTCTTCCATAACACCTCAGCAGTGCCACAGGCTGATAGCTTCCATGCCACTCCACATTGAGGCAGTAATTGCTGCAAAAGGGGCCCAAACCAAGTACTGAGTCCAAATGCATGCTTATACTTTTCAGAGGTCCGATATTGTTCTATGTACACTCCTTGTTTTATTGATTGCATGTAATATTCTAATTTACTGAGATTGTGGATTTTGGGTTTTCATGAGCTGTAAGCCATAATCATCGCATATAAGATAAATCACGGCTTGAACTAGCTTGCTTTGCATGCAATGCATCTATCTCGTATATTAGTTTCCTCTTTTATGTCGCATTACTGAAATAAATGAACTTTTGCACGATATTCAAATTTTTCGAGTATCACCTGTACAAAGCTGTGTTCCTAACACTATAGTGTCCCTCAGGCCCTTATGCTCCCCAAGCCTCCCCCCACAGCTATCAAATAGTTTAAAAAAAAATACTTTTTTCACTTAACCTATTTTAAAACTGAAGTCCCTCGGCTCTGGATCCAACTCTGCCTCCTCCAACATCATTGTGAGGGGAACCTAACGTGCATGAACATTGGGTCTTCTCCATAAGAAAGCATTGACTCAATGGGGATTTAAAAGACGATGGACGTCCACATGCAAAGCATGCACCCAGTTAAACCTTTTCCAAACCGTACTTCATCCTCTCATGATATTGGGTACCACTCTGTTCCGGCTGACCAATATCGTGCGTTCCAGATTACCGGCACACAGAAGTCATCATCAACCAAATTTGAGATTTTTGGTTACATTCATAATAAACCATTTCAAATTGATAAGATATTTGTTATAAAACCAAAAAGGGGATAATGCTCATTAAAATTATATACAGAATACTCATTAAAGAAAATGCATAAAAGGATAAAAACATTTTCTTTTTATTTAATTGTATATCTCTAAAACGAACTAATCTTAATTATTTGCACAGCTCAGTAAATATAATAGGCCTAATCATAGGCATGCGCAGCCTATTGCATTAGGGTGTGCACCCTAAAGCACAAACACACACTGGGTGTATGTGTATATATATATATCTATCTCCACGAAGAAAGGCACACGCTGGGCTTTTTGAAGAAAATTATTTGTCTTTATTCATAACTCACGGGTTACAGCAAATCGACGTTTCTACTACAAATGTGAGTGCAGGATCGTGGATTTTATATATATATATATATATGTGTATATATATATATATACACACACATGCATACACTGCTGTGTGTGTGTGCTGTTAGCGTGCTGTGTGTGTAAGGGTGCTGTGTGTGAGG